TCTTATATTTCTCATTGCTATATGACATTGAGAATAAAGCATGTATTGGTCTTATATTTCTTCATTGCTATACTGACATTAGAATAAAGCATGTATTTGGTCTTATATTTCTCATTGCTATACTGACATTGAGAATAAAGCATGTATTGGTCTTATATTTCTCATTGCTATACTGACATTGAGAATAAAGCTTGTTTTGGTCTTATATTTCTATTGCTTAAACTGACATGAGAATAAAGCATGTATTTGGTCTTATATTTCTCATTGCTATAACTGACATTGAGAATAAAGCATGTATTTGGTCTTATATTTCTTATTGCTATACTGACATTGAGAATAAAGCATTAATTTGGTCTTATATTCTCTGCTATACTGACATTGAGAATAAAGCATTGGCTATACTGACTAAAGCATGTATTTAGTCTTATATGTTTTATTGCTGTGTACGCCTCTCCGATGTTTGTGCAGATAATGTAAAAGAAATGTTCTGTGCTAAACTTGCATCTGTGGCAGGCAGGTGTCCCCGGTGAGATATTAGCTATGTTTGGGTGATATTAATGCAATGTCTGGTTGTGATCAAACTAGCTGCAAGGCGTTTGTCGATTCCCATGGCTCGGGAGCTAATTTCAGTAGCGAGAATAGCCACTTCGGGACTTTGTCAAGTTTATGAAATTGAAAATTTCCGGTTCCTGATTCTAGTGTTCCAACCCATATTGTTGGACATGGTACAGTCATAAGGGTGATGAAGCCAATAAGGTCGACCACATCCTTGTAGGCACTCACTGGAACAAACCTCCAGAACTACAGGGGGATACGGAGTGCTGTGGGACCGAGCGTTGATAAACCTTGCGACTCCCCCCCCCCTCGTCCGTTTGTCCTGTGAGCATTCCAGCACGTTTCCCTTGGACAGACTGAGGGTGGGGGAGTGTGCTCGGAGGTTAGACAACGTAATCTTTGATCGCTGACGGATCCTGTAGTACTGTGAGATACTTTCTAGTATGAAACGCTTGGAGCAGCTCGGGAATTCATCGGCGATCGCCAAACATCAAGGAAGAATTTCGTCTCGCAGGAGACACTGCAAGCCACAAATGCGTGTCACACTGCTAGACTGACTGGGGATCGGTCCATGCATCTTTTCCAGACGCGCAGAGAATGGACAAGGAATATTATATCAAGAGGTCATTTCTTAATACATAACCTTCGTCCTGCGAGGATAACTTGAATGAGCACTCTTCCAGACGACTGTAGTCAGCTCAGTAGATGGCTGGATCTTACATTAGGTATGTGATCGTTGGGCGACGTACTTTGAACGGCCGTGTCAGGTTGACCCATCAGAAGTTAGCTTGGACGCGCGTGGTGTCGTGATCCCAATGCCGGATCCACCCAACGGCAAGAAACTTCGTACTCTGAAGTTAAGGAGGCGAACTCTAAGCTGAAAGGCGGTAAAGCAGTTGGCATTTGAGGCATCCCTATTAAACTGTTAAAAGTGATGGTGAATCCATGGGGCCATGTTACCTCTGCTATTATCTAGCCGTCCATCACTCCTCGGACTGCTGAGGGTGTAGGTTCCCCAGTCAGAGGTAGGGGGATCGATGGGACTGCAGCAGTTACGAAGGCATTACATTGCTCAGCCAGCATACCAGAGATCCTTCCTGAACGTAACGGAGACCACGCTACTGAGGCACCAGAGAGAGGAATCTGGAGATACTCCTTAGAAAGCCAAAACAGACTTTATTTCTTTACGCTTCGAGTCACTGTAAAGTACCTCGCGTAATTTGGCGTGAAATTCTCGCAGCGTACGTCGACCCCAAGAAGGCGTTTGATTCGGTACTTCGCTCTGAGACACTGGGATTACTGCATTAATAACAAGCTTGTATACTGATACAGATAATGCTGTCAAGCGTGGTGGAGGCTTGTCGAGCTTGTTCCCTGTGAAAATCAAGATTGAAGTGCTAGGTGAAAGTGTTCAGTTCTTGCAGGGGCTGGGTAATAGGTAGAGCTCATTACAGAAGCCATTGTAGAACAAACACTGAGCATTAAGCCATCTACATGCCTTTTTGCCCTATCCGAGCTTCAAGAGGCAGCTCTCGAGCATTCAGCAAGAGCTAACCGTAAGTCAAGAGTCTCTTGGACCAAGAAGGGGGGGGGGTCTGATAGAACTTTTATTCAGTACGTGCTTACCGCGAGGATGTTTGAAGTCAGACCTTTACATTACCTTGGTGGTGGTGACTTTGGGCTATTAGACCAGGAAGTCACTAGGACTGACTAAGCCTGGCTGCAGGTCATGAGATGTTGTTCTCACTTTAATCAATAAATCTAGTTTGTGCAGTGTTTTTCTACCATAGACAAGGTAGTTTTTTTCTAAACTGGATGGATGTATTTTTCATTCCTTTAACAAGATATTTATAATGATATAAATATTTGATAGTGATATTACACGTCTTTTGAGATTAATTGTTATTCACACATATTATTTTACCTTTTATCATAATTTGTAAAATTTCTTCTCCAAACTGACATTAGAATAATTTTCTTTTATTCCCATATTGATTTTTTCAAGACCCTTTTATTTTATTTATTACTTCTTCCTGTTACTCTATATGTCCGGTAAATGATATTGTCTTTGTTTTTGAGTTCGTGTTAACTATTCTTATTTTTGCTTCAAGCTATTTTTATCTCTTCATTGATTTTTTTCACATAAAATATTTTTTAGTTAACATTGGCCTAACAAGTCTTCAAAGGATTTTTTTCAACATACTTTTCTTAAATTCTTCTACCAACCATTTTGTTCTTATGGATCATAATGTTCCTGCAACATACTTCTTGGTTTGTGATTGTTCAACTTTTTACCGTGGTCGTGGTAACAAGGAGTTTTCTTATCAGTGTTTGATTTTCCATGTACTTGTTTAACAGATATGGGTATTCTGTTCAATCTTTCTGTAATTATTAGAATCTGACCAGTCATTACGTTCTAAATAATGCATAAGCTACATGTAAACATTGGTCCGATATCGGAAACATGTAACAGGTCTTTTCTATTATATTTTCATTCTTATCAAAATAACTACCACCTAATCGTAATCTGCCATGAAAATTTCAAAGCAGTTTGGTAAAAAATCATCTGGATATTTTATTCCTTTTCAAAAATTCCTTGTATGATCATTTGTATAGTCTACTTTAAACGCCATTTTCATATACTGTGGTTCGTATGGGCCTGTCCAAATTGAAGTATAGGGTGTCTTTGGTCCACATGAGGGGCAATTCATACGCGGGCAGTAACGTCATCACTCCATGGTGATGATGCCAGAAGAGAAATTGCAGACAGACCATTGGAAAAGCCATGCCTGCTTCCCAATTTCTGGTCAACCGCATAGTTTGCTGTGTGGACGCAGCAGACAGGCAGAGTGTTTGGCTGGGTGGCCAAAACGCCAAGACTTCTAACATTGACGAGGAAGGGGTCGATATGGTTGGACATAGTAGGACAATCCACCAATATAAACTTCATGGGGGTCATCTCTGCGGAATTTAATATTGGCAATATTGAAGTGGGACTTACGTTGGCCTCTGGGAGGAATAGTGTAGCACTGTCCTGCCACTGCATCATAATCAACAAGGTAGGTAAGTAGGTCATTTTCAGAGTCTGACCATTCCTTGTTGTAGATAGGATAAGCATTTGGAGGGATAGAAACAGTTCCAGTACAAGTGTTAAGAGGGGTGAGGTTCAGCAGGAATGGGTTTGCCAGTTAGGTCAGTTAGGATACTGCACGAGCTTGGGATTCAGATGTAACTATGACAAGGCGTGAACGATCAGAGTGACTGTGAAAGGTAACCTTGCCTAGCTTTTGGAGGCACTGTTGAAAGAGAAGGGTATTCTCAGAATAGGGGGGAAATCACAGATAATCGATCCCACTTGGCTAGGCCAAAGAAAGTATTCAACAGAGGTAGAGGCACAGGCAGTAGAATGATGAGGGCAAGAGGAAGGTAGGATGATGAGTGAGAAAATTCTGTGGGGGAGAAGGACAATAAGGATGAAGAGTAGTAATAAGGGAAGAAGGGGTAGACACTTACGAGGAATGTGCAGTAGTAGATGGAGGAGAATGCTGGGAGAGAGGAAGGGGTGATTTCTGGAGGTTAAGTAATAACCTGGGTGGGTGTTTTGGAATGGATAGTTGACAGTTAGCACCTAAGAGGGGTTTTTAGAATCAGTGGTCAGAGCCATGGTCAAATGAGGGATAGGGGTTGGAAAACCATCAAAATCAAATTTAGATAGGCCATTGGAAGAAGGGGCAATCCTTAATGCCCCTATTAAGAGTAAAGAATCTTCATTATTGGCAATGGTGAGTCTGAATAAAATGGGGAAAAGAAATGGCTCCCCATAAGAGGTAAAGGCTAGGCAATTAACCAAGGGAATACTGTGCCCATGGCTCCCAGAGGCCGTTCATGACTGACAAAGCCAGCCTTTCATCCTTTCAGCATGGCTCTCACACCTTAGGTATGGGATAGAAGGGGGTGAAGAAGATACAGAAGAGGAAAGGGGAGAAGAAAAGACCAAGCAAAAATAGTTGTGAGGGCTGAGGCCAAGTTAGGGGTGTCCCCTACATTGGGCCTCAGTCTGTCTCCTAAGCTCTCCCACGACAACGAGCAAGGTATTAGGAGGGTAGTATTTGTCATGTTTTATTCATTATTAAAATTGATTCATATCCTGTAGAGGATAATTTTATTACACATTTTTAGACATGGATTAGATTAGCTTCTGGTAGTAAAACAAACTCTACATATGTAATAACTACCAACTTTCCATTGCATTTTTCAATTCATGGAAGATATGCTTCATAAATTTGCTAATTTTGATGGAGAAAAAAGATAGATTACTGTGAAGATATTCATTCTTAGTTATACCTTTTCTACATGTTGCAATATGGCTCATTGATACATCACTTCTCGGATATCAAAGGTGGCAAACGCGTCATAAACCAGGAAATCTTTTGGAGTAAAACTAATTTACACATAAACTGGTTTTATTAAGAATCACAATTTTAAATAATAATTGCAGCACTCATATTACTTCTCCTGGAAAGTTTATACATGGTCTGGAATGATATATATATAAAAAAATCATGAACTTCACATTTGATATAAATTTCCACTAACAAAGACTACACAGTCTTAAAAACAAAACCTAACCTAATCATTTACAGACTCCCTATGGGAGAAACATAAAAAGTGTTGCATTATAATTGCTCATTATTATGTGTTTTAAAAACCGCATCGAGATTTAATGGCAAATGTCACATCAAATCACAGTTAAGAGCAACACATCAATGGGCAAAAGGAGAGAAATCTTAATGTAATGGAGATTACTGAGACAACCTTAAGATGCTGCAGATTCAAGCTCAGAGGCTGGAGTTTCTGGTTCTTCATCATTGTAGATGTTTTCTGCCATCTGCCACACCTGTACAAAGTACAATATAAGTTTTTAATGCATTATAATTATAGATGTAAATTCTGCTTCGGAGCACAATATTTATCACTTATTTTAATCTAATTACTGATCTTGGTGGCACTACCATTATAGCAAGATCTGGTAGTCGAACCTAAAATTAACAGCTATGCTACTTTCATCTACAACAATGCTCAATGTAGGAAAACTAACCTGCATGATATTGTCTTCACTAACAGAACAGATAACCCATGGTTCATTGGGGTTCCAGGAGAAGTCAGAGATCTTGGCAGTGTGGCCTCCGTGGATGAACTGCAATAATTAAAAAGCGGTTTATTCAACATGCTTAAAAAACTCCCACCCCAAAGATTAATATTACTAAACTGCATCATTATTGTTACACTAATTACTTGTGCAGATTCAACTGAGTGGTTGTGGTGATAAAGTACAATAATAATTAATTGCGTTCACTAACCAATAATTCAGGCGGTCCATCTTCAGCATCCTCAGCACTCTGCTCCTCACCAATCTTGCTAAGATCCCACACATGCAAGCGACGGTCTGTGCCTGAACTTGCCAGAATCGTCTCGTTGTGAGGTGACCACTGAACCTGTATTACCCAAAATTACAACATCAGTGTGCAACATAACCATGCCCTCCCTGTGAAAACAGGTAACAATAAATAGGTACCTATATACATATATAAGGAGGGGGGCATTAAATTCATTACAAAACAATCTGAACATTGACGCATGCATTTTGATCACAGAAGCAGGAAACATAGGGAGATCTTGCCTCTTACTAGCTACTGTTTCAAGAACAAACTACATGCATGATATCACACCACCTAGCTACCTAGACATCAATTTCTAACATGCAATTTTCATTAACAGTAACACAGACAGGAATTGTGTATATGCACAATATCTAATATCTAATATACATTAAACAACATTTAAACTACTCCTACTTTCCCCATAGTATCAGACCAACTGGTTAACTAATTTACACAATTTTTAAAGATATAACTTCCACATGAAATATCTGGAAATCTATTCAATCAACAATTGACAGCCACTTTTGCGTGTTCCAGGTGACCAGCACCAGTAATCATCTTGTGAGGAACACACTCTTCTTGGCAAAATCTGAGCACCCTCAGCTGTTCTCACTCGATCAAGCTCACCTGGAAGACCTCATCTTTGTGCGACTCAAATGAGTGGAGTTTCAGCTTGAGGTTGCGCAGGTCCCACAAGGCAACTGTCTGCAAGGTGGGTGGAAAACGATAGCTGTGAGGACACAGACGCTCACCACACACAAGGTCATGCAAGTTTTACTAACCTGGAAGATTTCGTCCTTGTGCATGGCAAACGAGTGAAGCTTCAAGCTCAGATTACGTAAATCCCACAGAGCGACCGTCTGTAAGGGAAGCTAGATGTTGAACTGTTCCCGCGTGCTCTTGAACAGTTCTACTACAATCAACTGTTCATGAGCATTGAGTATCCAAGTTGTGTAATTAGAGAAATGCAAATTTTAGTTACTACACTGAACACTTCTGGTTTTATGTTTATACTACTACAGTTCCCTTATTCTTGTTAACTCAAATCCTTCCCAGCTATTCTTATTCTATACTCTATAACCCTCACTTTATAATACTATTAAATTGGATTTCTCGAATTTTTAATTTCTGACCAAATAATATTACGTAATGGGCACAAGGAACTCTATAGACTTTTGAATGGGCTTACTTGAACAAAATCAGAAATAACTTGCCAGGCACTTTCAAAAATGAAATATTTATATATATGATTGTATATTTTTTTGTGCAGTAAAGTCATGTATTTCAACTGTCCTTCGAAAAAATGCAACATTTACTTACCTTGTCTGCACTTCCAGTGGCAAGAATAAATTCGGAGTAGGGATTGAAGGAGAGGCAGTTCACCTCCGCTGTATGGGCATCAACTGTGTGTGATGGTTTGTTAGTGTTGTTTGCACGAGTGTCCCAGATCATGAGCTTTTGATCGTCAGCCACAGAACCAAAGAGGGACTCGTGCAAGAGGTGCCAGGCAACATCCTGAAACATGGCAAAACAAAAGCTCAAAATGATATTCTTGCAAAAGCACAAAACACCCATGTTTGAGTCAACATGTAACAAAAATAACTTCAAACGAATAATGAATACCTCAACTACAGCAGTGTGGCCTGTGAATATTGTTTTTGCATCAATTATTCTGTTTTCCTTTGGAGTTGCATTAATGTCCCACAAACAGATAGTGTGATCATCTGATGCACTCAAGAGATACCCATTCAGATTAGGATTCCAAGACAGACCATATCCTTCCTTCTGATGGCCACGTAACCTATGTAACAACAAAAGTAAATGGCATGTGTAAAGAGAATCAATTGTCTACCCTAAAGATCCTTACAAAAAGATACTCATACAGTCACATGACAAAAATAAGAAATAAATAAAAAAGAGCATGCAAGCCCTGTTCAACAAAACTACATGTCACCCAAACATACCTTAGGTCTGGATGACACTCCCCAGATGGATCTGGTTTTGATGGATGCTTTGTGTAGTCAAAGACGAGGACATCACTTGAAGGGGTTTTGGTGGCTATGACGCATGGATTCTGAGGCATGTAACGAGCGCGGTTTACTTCTCCCTCATGGTTGATTTTAATTTCAATTTCAATCTTTCCACTGACTGAACCAAAGCCACCAAACTCTGAAAGATGAAGCAAATGCAAATCGCACCTGTTGTATGATATATTTGACTACTAAAACAAATACTATAATAGGGTTTGTTAGTCATTTCATATCACTTCCTGAACATCCAACATCCCCTGCAGTTTTATAGGAGTATCAAACTCTGTATAAAATCTAACATAAGTAGAAATGACAATGGTCCTGTAAGAAATCTTGGCCATATTGGCACACCTGATTAATAATAATAATAAAGCTAATATATATATATATATATATATATATATATATATATATATATATATATATATATATATGTCAAATCATATCTATATAGCACTTTCATTATTTTTGGACTTACTTTACTGCAGTTGACTCAGTGCACCACTGGCCTATCCAACTACCCAATTTTACTCCAGCAGGTTTAGACGGTCTTACACACTTTTGAACCATTTATCTTATTCCTACAATAAACTTCTGAAAGGAATTACTCCACTGTTGCTGGGAACATTTTATGTATTTTTCTCCTGTTTTATTAGGATTTAAAAAGACTGCAGACAAATACATCTTGGAGCCCTTGTTCATATCTAATATGATTTATGTTATGGACTCACCAATTATGCAGCTGGGTTGACATTGTAAGTGCTCTGGGTTAATTGTAGTTAAATACTCTTAATCATATTTTACAATTTCACAGACAAGAGTGAAGGGAACAAAGGTTCCTCAGGGATGAAACATGAAAAAATTGTGGAAAAATTATAAAATTAAAAAGGACAAAGTCTGTGACACAGGACTACTCTACAGGCTGTTACAATCAAACAAACAGCCCGAAATACAAATAATCTTGAATATTGCCGAAGAACACAAACTGAAGGTAGTAAGAGAACAGAAGCACCGTCTCTCTTCAATTCAGCAGACTAGAACATACCTCCTTTTTCGTTGTCATAGTGAGAGGCATCAAACTGGGCATCTTCATTTGGCAGCTGAACTGAGGCAATAAGGAGATGGTTTTGTTCATCACTTGTGTGTGTTCCTAGTATCAGTCGGTGAATGCTGAAGTCTTTGCCATCAGGTCTGAAACCCATCATAAAAAGGATTAAATAAAAACTTAAAAGCACACTACTGACACACACACACACATGGCTGACAGGAAAAAGAGGGAGAGTATACTATATCATGTGCAAGTTTATGAATCCTACCTATTTACATAATAACCGCCCTAGGATAAAAAAAGAATGCTTCTAGGAACTGAAATTGCTAGGTAACAAGCAAAATTACACTCCATGTCCTAGCTGGTAATTTCATAATGTAAATTTTAAAGAAAATCTAAAATGAAATCCAGAGACTGAAGAAAAGTACCAAATTGGATTCAATCCCAAACATCTATTCTCTATACAAAGGTTCAAAGTATTTCATGTGTTTCTCAAATCAAATTCTCTAACACTTATTCAAGCAGGTTTGCAAGAAAATTCTTGATGAGCATTACTTCATTTTTTTAAAAGGATACACAGGCTTCTTATGCAGTTAGGTATACTACTACTAATAATCATAATAAAAAATGCTTCCTTATTTGTACTTACACTTCCTCTGAAATTTAGTATCAAAAAGAAAAAACAATACGAAAACAAAGAACTGCTGGTGGCATGCTCCAATAATACCGAGATGAGTTGAGGAAAAAAGAAAGAAAGAAAGAAAAAGAAAAAATCCTGAAGGCTAGATATCACACTTGTTTCCCACCCTCCCCATTCCCTCTCCCTAAACTCACCAATGTCTGTCCTTCTCAAACCTAACGTTGCACTCACCTTGTAACATCGGGCAGCCACTGGGCAGTGAGGGAGGGCCATTCCAAGGCATGGGTCATCACCAGGTCGTACAAAAAGGGAGTATTTTTCTTCCATATCTTGTACTCCTCATTGATGACTCTCTCCTCTACTGCATCATCAAAGGTATCTGTAACCCACAGTCAAAGTCAACACAAGCTCTACAGGCAATGCCATATTTGTAATAAGATTCAACAATACATCTCATTTATAATAAAAACTGCACAGAAATAATCAAACGACTTAAAAAAGCTAGGCTATTTAGATGAATTTGTCATATCCATTCATGTCTGCTATACCCATTATTATCTTTCAAGAAAGTCTAAAATTAATATTTCTTTAGGTATGAAAGTTTGGGACCTGAACCCAAAAGGTAGAAATAATAAAAGTGAGAATGAGAAAAAGAGAAAGGGAGAAGAGATAATGTGAGAGAGAGAAAATGAGGTAAAACGAGCTCTGGCTAGGTCACTATGGTCACACTGGGTAGCATGTAAGGTCACTGGAAATGGAAAATACTGAAGTGCCACTCATAAGGTGGGGTGAAGTGTCACTGGGTGGAGTAAACACAGGTGTGGCCCACCTTGCAGGCGGGTCACAGGTGTAACCTCAGCCACCGCCACTGTCGTCGGGAGGTCGGGAACCGCACACACAGGCGCAGGCCCACCACCATCCCCTACTACATGACACACAAGAATATAAACTCTTTAGTTCCCCTAATCCTAGGAATGCCAGCACACTACTACTAGGGGAAGAAAGGCTTAGTCAAGTCAACCTCAAATTCATTATTTATACAATTGTTGGTGAATGAAAGAGGAGGGACATACTATACTGGGACTACAGTGAGGCAGGTTAATAATAGAAATGCTTACTACTCAAAGAATGAAACATATTGCACAGTCTCAGAGTGCACAACAAAGGAAACCTGCATAAAATATACTACACACCAGCAATGAAGTTGCAAAAACACAAAATTGTTTATACATAAAAATATCACATGGAAATACTCCTCCACCATTTAATCATGTTACAATTTCCACAAACCAAAAAATTAGTTACCCATATTTAAACCAAAAGATTAGTATCTCATTCAAAAGAAAACCAAAACCTCTCATACCACATTGCATGCAAGTCCGTGAAGTTTTAAGTTGACTGGACAACAAAAGTCTTATTTAAACCATGTAAAACTAGGATTTTTTCTAGCAACATTTGTGTCAAAACTGATGGTACATCTCAATTTTCTAAGTATATACACATTTTTAGTAGCACCAAATTATTCTCCATTAATTCATGACAACTTTATTTCACAAATAAAATTATGGCTTAATTCCTCATATTATGAGGAGATAATGACCTAACAAGTTGTTCTCAATACCAAAATACTGAAGCAATTGGTTAGGAAGACAGGGTTACCAGAAAAACAAAGCTGATGTTGCAGAAATGACCCTCCTTAAACCTCTTGCTTATACATGCAAGCATTCGCATTGCAGATCTTTTGCAGGCACACAATCCTTACAGCACTTATCTCAACACATTATCTGAGGAAAATAATTTTCTACCAAACCATGTCAAACTGGCAATATTCTGTCAAAGCTTAGCTAGCTACCAATTAAGTAATTTTTCTGAGTCTTATCATGATCACAAACTTATTTCAAACTTTTTGTACATGAGAGGGTGAAAAAACATCAACAAAAAACTATAATCTTGTGCCAACATAAAGGTAATTAATGAACATATTGAGGTCTATATACTACTTACTTTCTGATACAAGCTCTCAACCCACTGCCACGAGGGAAATGTAATGTCCACTGTAGTTGTTTTGTGGAAAATGTTAACACAGAAGGCTCCACAAGTGGAACTGTCAATGCTTAAACAAAATCAATAAACCAAACCCACAGTGGGCATAGCATGTACATACTAGCCATCCCTAGTGACTATGAGTTTACTGGATAAAAGACATTCTTTCTACTTCCACAAAGACGTCATCTATATAAAACAGGACATTACCTCCACAAATTTGAACAAAATTCGGTTTCAACCCTTTGACCATGTCATGCAACTTGTTGCAATTTAAAACTTATTCACTATGTATTCTGGCAATAGTTTTCCATGGCCTGAAAAGGAACTTACGCATATTCCGAGGCAATTGGTCTATATGCTCTCTAGCCCATTTTGTTTATGAAGTGTCCTCTCAGTCCTTCCCTTTGTATTATGCCATGTTTAGCAGAGCACCACACACAAAGAAAAATCTAAAGATTCTAAATACTCAAAATGTTCATGGTTTTTCAGATAACGAATAACTATCTATTTGAAACAAAAACAGATTTAGTATCTTATCTTTATGCAAGATTTAAAAAAAATGATAGATTTCATATGTACTCAAAATGTTCATGGTTTTTCAGATAACGAATAACTATCTATTTGAAACAAAAACAGATTTAGTATCAATTCATTTTCTTGCACAATAAAATACAGTTCTCATTTTAGATCAGTAGGTCTTCTGGCATCCTCATACTTTTGAAAAAAAGTTGTGGCAAACTTTGAATAACCATATTTATCTGGATGCAAAAGCTGACAAACAAATGGAGTTTTTATAGAGCCATAATGTAATTCAGAATAGGTCCATCAATCTTTTGCTACAAAGGACATGCACAAGGGAATGGTTCCAGAATCCTAGGCCATGGTCAAAAGGTTAAATACATATATATGTATGAATGTGTAAACTACAATAATTGAAAATGGTAAAAGGAATAAAAGCTTTTCGCTGCTTGTAACGCAAGCAACTGCATTGGCCTATACACCTTCAGCACTCCAGAAAAGCAAAACAAACTTCCACACTTATGCTAGCAAGACATGAGTTCTGAGTGATTCTTTATTCAACAATAGAGGTCTGCAAGCTCCAACCAACAAAACTATCCATGGAGGTGGTTTGTTGGCAATGGTGAAGGATCACGTCATTTGCACACACAAACATGACAATATATATATATATATATATATATATATATATATATAATATATATATATATATATATATATATTATTAAACCTTAATGATATTTCATATAATTGTAAAAAAAGCACGGCCAGTCACAGCAATTAAGATTGTTGAATAGGCAGTTAATGTTACCAAGAGTGACAAAGGAAATGGACATCATCTTATAAAGCATAAGAAAGTCATATATAACAGGTACGGCTGCTGTGGCCTCCTATTTACGCAAATTGACAAATATCTGCTGCACATCAATACCCTCACAGCCCCAGTTTTTAATGACCGTTCCCTATAAGTTGCCTTGATTTGTTTAGACTTTTGAGTCTAAATGTGTGAATATACTGTTAGGTTGAGGAAATATAAAGAAGTCTGGTTTTGGGGGCTGGGGCTTCGTCTCTGGGTGGTGTGACACTAACAATAGCAAATAGATTTATGATGTGGAGTCGGGGATTGCTCTCTGGCAAGTGCATTTGTACTGTAAAGAAGCAAAGGCCAACTAGCCTCTATCACATATTGATTGCAAAAAAAGAGCTTTGAATGAGTCCTTATTGGATACTAGCCAGGGAGGTTTACAAGTGTCATCTTGCCTGAATACATGTGGTAAATGTTTGACACTGCCATGAGGACTAATCAATAACATTCTGAAACTTCCATTCTCAACACAAATCATTAGAACTGCAGACCAAACGACATGCCACAATGAGAAACAGCGGATCAGCAAGGAGCAAAATTCCCAAACCATTTCCTTCATTCAATTGTTACCTATCCTGCATCACTGTATCGGTTACGAATGCTACTGAAACAAGCATGCTATGGTTTTCACATCTCGGCAAGCATACAGGAGAGAAAATTGGCGTTGTTCCTTCCCAAGCCCCACTACGTATATTCTCATAGAACAAGAGCCTGGGAGCTTACGGACCTTAGCTAAAGCAATAATTGTGGCAGGCCTGTATATAAATCAGTAGCTACGGTATATCAGCAAGACTGGCCTAAAAGACGCACAATCTCCCATTATAATGATCTTTTCTTGTTTATCTCCAACCAAATTCTAAGCCATGCAACGAAATATTAGCCTATCACCACCGAATACATTACCGACAACTTATACCGCAAGAAAATGCAAAATGCAACCGATCTCTGTATTAGTGGCCAAATGGACAAATGCAGGGAGGAAATTTAGCGAAGTAACAAGCTGCAACGCTTCCGTAGAACTTATAGGCCTACAAGATGCAAGTTATAACTCGGATTACAACCATAACACCAACATGCACATATATATGGGTAAAAGGATTAAAAAATACATAATTATACATATATTGACACAGCTACAAGGGCAGCATTCAAAGACGTCTACAACAAATGATATATAAACACTAGTACGAATACCGTATTTTACTCATGCACAGCTTTCGGTGAAGAATTATCCAAAAAAGGGAAATAAAACATCGTTAAAAGCTAACCAAATTAAGAAAAAAAAAATCTGTAAATGCATTTTAAGTTTTCGCGAATTTTAAAATATACAAAATACGATCTACATACTAAGCTTTGTCTATTTGATTAATTGATATATTAAGAGAGAGTTATCCGCCCAAGAGATGTGATAAATAGGAATTACAGAATAAGAGGAGTAAGTACGTGAATAAAATGCATAAAAGACAAAAAAAGGGAAAAAATAAAATTGAATTTAGTAGTTCTCATCTCATCGAAATACTTCTAAGTCATCCAAGACATCGTGAGTGACATTATCTAGTGACAAGCCCCTTATTCCCGCCGTGAAGACGTCACTCCGTGTCAACAAAAGCGAGAAACGAAATTTACCAACAAGAAAAAAAATATTTATAAACAAGGGAACCGCGCCAAACACAACCCACGGAAATTTCAATCCCATTTCTCCCTCCTTCCTATTCCTCGTTTGAGCTATCTCTCCCTCCCGTCTTTCTCCTCCCACTGTCCCTCGGCGGCTGGTGCACGGCCTTACCCTTGGCGGCTTCCTTGTCGGTCATTTTGGAGAGCGAAAATGGGGAGGAAAGGCGGAGAGGGAAGCGGAC